CCCCCCCAATCATGTGTTGATCAGTCTTACCTTGGCTGCATTGGGAAACATCACAGGAACCAGTCTGAAGTTCAGGCAGCCTTGCTGGATGTACTCATTTTGAATCTGTGCCATTGTGAAAGGATAGTCAGTGATAGAACTAAACAAAGGCTTCACTCATGAGTTCAACCAAAATGTATTTTCCTTGTCACCTAACATTGACACAATTACACATTGTGATTGATGCTCTGACAGAAAGCAGAAGAATTTGACTGCACTCTGCTCTGGCACACTAACACAGTGAGGAATCTGGGAGGAACGGCTGTTTTCAGTTCCTGGGAGGTATTTCCTCATTCTTCCATGCAATTGAAATGTGAGAGGAGGTACTATAATGATACAGAAAAGCCACAAGAGGGAGACATTGTGAGCAAATATTTGCTTCTCAGTTCCTAAGAGGCCATTTACCTGGTTGTAGATGTACTTGGTGTGCAGGCCATGCTCATCGACTCCATCTCCTTCCACATCCGCTTTGTACTTGGGGCTGATGGCCACAATGATCAGCACTGATTTCTGTCAAAACAATCCTCACTGTCAATTTTTCAGCACAGCTGTGATAAGAATTGAAGAATTGCCTAATCAAACTCAGCCGTCACACTTACATCATTCAGAAAACGGTCCATCCATTGGTTGATACCCATGCTTCGGATTGAACTGTCAAACATGTCGAGCTGAGGAAAGGCAGAGCGAGTGAGAACATTTGAAGTGGAGTGAGCATCTGCGGGAAATCAAAGGCTGATGGACTTACTGAGGGTCTAAAGCCTTGGTCCACGAGAAATTTAACAAACATGAACATTTCCTTGGCTATGTCCACTGAATATGTGATAAAAACTCTTCCTGTCAATGAGGGAGGGGAAAAACAGAAAACAAAAAAACCCATCAGTCATTATCCTGAACAGAAGGGAAACATGAAACGGAAGGGAATGATGCATGCTTTGGCACATGGTGGGACTTACTGCACTCCTCGGGAAGACTGATGATCCTCCTGATCTCCTTCGTGCCTGATCCTGCGCCTGCAAGGTCGGAGCAACCCACGCTGACCTCATGCATCACGTCTAGAGGAGGTGTTGCATAGGGAGGCGCAGAACCACAGTGACCATTAAGAGCACCTTTAAGTTGCTGCCCATTTTGAGAGAGATTCCTGTGGAGGGAAATGATGAGAAATGACCACAGAGTGACTCACAACATACGGTATTGGGGAAAGTATTCCACCAGTGAACCAATGCTGGAATTAGTAGATCATAATGACAAACATTTTCTGGTGAGGTTGAGGCTCCTGGTGTCGGGCTGCTGGGTAACCCGGGTCTTGATGACAATAATTATCGCGTCCGCGCGGGTTTGCTGGAGGGCAGCACGTGCGCTGTTTCAGACAGCTTCCCTGCATTGGCATGTGGCCTGCAGACAGACACAGAGGAGCAGACATAAGTTCCTCTTTCAGATGGTTTAGCAGAAATGTGATGCAGATTGTCCTGCTTCTGGAATGCAATAGCACATTTACTGTTTGTTCTTGAGTGCTAAAATTATGGTTTTAAATGATTGCTGCCTACAACCAATTTTTTTCAGTGACATTCAATATCATATGTCAAATTCATAGTCACAATATGACCAATTATAGTTATCATTTGTTATGGGACACTCGATGTTTCCATGTTATTGAGCGCCAGCCGCAAAGTAAAGATGTCTTAAAGTGGGCATGAGTTTGGTGTTTTAGTGTCCTATGACACAGTATCAACAAACAGGGCTGAAAAAGGAAGCTAAAAGCTACAGTTCACCAGCTTGTCAGTCCCTATAGAATCCCATTTTAAAATGCTTAACATTTTTACAGCCTGTTACAATGTGGCACAGCAGCGCTGACTTCTGTGCGAATTTGTTTTCCTGCTCACCTGGTTGGATTTTTTTTTTCTTCACAGGCCTAAAGTTGTGGGTGTGATTGTTTATGCTGAAAGGTTTCAGTAAACAGTAGAGAAACCTATGGATTACGTATTTTTTTGTTTTCCCCGTAAATCTGTGGACTCCAAACATATCAGCAAAAACTGAGACATTGTAAGGGATTAAGGTACAGATTATTTTTCCTTTAATTTGTGACCTCTTTTACAGTGTTCTGTGTAAATATTGGATAATTTTTCAGATCTACTTAAATGAAACAATCCAGTGGTAATTCACTGACATACTCACATGGCATATGTGGAATTGGCATTTTAACATAGTTGATGCTGTTGAAGTCCGATTTGAGCGGTTGGGGGGGCTCCAAGTACTCTGCATCGTCCACAGAGTGGCTCCGGTGCTGGCTTGAAGGGCCTATGGGTTCTTGCTTATACTGCACTTTCTGTCTTAGGCTAACATGCCAAAAATCTTCCATGAATGGGGCATTCACGTGTCCCGAGAGTGGTGCTGCTGGGGAGTTAATGCGAAACTGGTGCTTATACTGGTTCTCAGGGAATTTAGATGCCTCTAGCCTTTTGACGGTCTCTGTGTGTGCGTTACACTGTTCACATGGGGGGAGCCGTTCCAAGTCCAGAGTCTCACCCATTTCAACAGGAATGCTATGATGGGGACAAGGCCCTGAAAGCAAGAAGGAAAAGATCAACAGGTTTTTACTCACTTCACTTAAAATGGCATTTTTGGCAAGCTGATAGCTCTGTGTCTGTGCCTTCCTACCTTTATAAGGGTCCATTTTTTAATTTTATTTTACCAATTAAAAGTGTCTTTGGCCTCTGTGGTGAAAATGAAAGCAGTGTTAAAATAATCTGTTGCAACATGGCACCTTAAAGACAGACACACACAAAAACACACGCACGCACATACACACACACACAGCAAAACGCCCTACATAAAATCAACATGGCGGTTACAAACCGAGACTAGAACCACAGGGAAAAGCATTACCCTTAATGTGGCAAACGCTTCTCAGTAGAAGTATTCATGTGTTCTTTTATTTTTCACACTGAAACAAGTGAAAACGGAGGATCTCTACAGGTGGGTTGAAGCGTAACCTGATCGTGACAAACAAGTACAAAGGTCAGAATCATTCATCAAAAGCAATGCCAGGTATTTCTTTTTAAACAATAACTAAAAAAAAAGAGTCAAAAGTTAACATGGTGTTTGACATTACAAGTTAAAGAACAAAGCCAATGTGTTTTCACACCTACCTTCGCTTAAAGCTGCTCAGCCTCAGCACAAACCTGTTTTGTGGCAAACAGGAAACATTCCCGCTGCTTGTTCCTTCCTGTCTTATGCAAATCTTGGAAGTCTCGTGACCCATTTATGCAAAAGGTGTGGAGCGTGAACTCCAGGGCTGCCAATCAGGTTGCTTCTTCAACCAGGTAGGCAGGCTGCAGCCAGCCACATTCAACTGTTTTGTTGGAAAGGTGTCATGTTTTGTTTTCATCACACATTGTGAAGCAATGAAATTGAAGCAGCAGGGGGGAAAAGGATACACAGGACTTGACAGGTAAAGAATATATACTACAGCATGTATAAAACGGTACTGAACTGTGTTCTCAGTAGATTTTATACAGTGACCCATTTTCAAGGCCATCAAACAAGAACATGTTTTTGTTTCATAACTAGACATGATCCATATCACACCCAAGTCTGATTTTCCTTTTTTGTTTTATAAATAAACTGTATTGACAAAGGCCCACAGTCGGGCAAAAGGTTGTATATAATGGTTCTTTGAGCAAAATGCATACCATGTTTTTGTGTGGATGGGAAAAAATGCAGTAACTTCTGGGTCTGAAAAGAGAACTAGTTTAATATCTTAAACTTGCATTCTTTCTGATGTTCAACACTGGTCATTCCTGTGCTTGGAAGAAGAAACCAAGAGGGGTGTGTCATTAAGCTAGATTACTAGGTTAGCAAGAAAGTCTTGTTTTAAGTTGTTTGTCATGAAAGTGGCTTTCTTTCTACCTGACTAAAAAATTGTGGTAATTTAACCTGAACAGGAGCGGGTTATGTTCAGGATTTCTTTTTACAAACGGCTGGACTTGCATATGATTTTTTTTCTTTGCATATTAAAATTTAAATTGTACCTCTGTACTGTACCTCACTGATATTGCAAATGAAGCGCAGCTGTACAAACGTCACAATGTTGCTGGAATATTCATCTGGTGATGCAGAAAATGTGTAAATGTTAATATACTTGATTCTGATCTGCTGCTCTTTTACAGCGCAGTTAGTAGAATGCAGAACACACACAAAGAGCACCTGTCAATCAATAAAATTGATTTAACTTCTGCCAACAAACTAAATTTCCACATCACCTTTAATAAGGTACAGGCCAGTTTTAAAGTTCCAGAGCTCTACTGTGAATGATAGGCAGAATTTATAGGGATAATTTTGTATGGAAAAAGATCATATGACACAGCAAAGAAAGGCCGCCTCAACAGAGAAAGTTGCAGAAATTATAGCGTGATATCGCTCATCTCTGACTGGGGTTTTAGGTTTTGTCAAGTCAGCTTATACAAAGAAAGCCTGACTTATTTCCTTGGTAGTACACCCTTCAGTAGTACAGAAGGTTGATTTTAAAACAACAAGAGTGCCCAAAATCAACCTTCTGGGTTAATAATGTAACTTTAGTAACCAGTGACTGTTGGTGACGATGTCAGTAGATGTAATTTATATGTTGGCATCACATACAGTAAAAACATAGACGTTCAGCCAATATGCAGTTCCTTAAACCTGCCTTCTGTCTCAAGTCCACCTGATGACGATAGCTGTGAATGCAAAAGGACTCCCAGTCCCATAGAAGTCCATGGAAAAATGGCTTTCTGACTTAGAAGGAAAACGTTTTGAGAGGTTAAGTTTATGGGCTCAGTCACTCATTTTGGGTCTTATTGAATACAAAATAAATTTTTAAATCTCAGTCATAATTTTTTTTAAGAAATAGAGGCTTATCTGTGGCATTAATTCACAAAATATCTGTTTATCTGTTGGATTCAGCTTTTTGGGACATATGTATAACTTCATAGCAATCAAGAAATTGTTGAGGTGTTTCAGAGCAGGTCATCCATCTGTCCAATTTGGGCTTTTGCTGCAATCTAATATTGTTGTATGTATTGAGAGCCATGACACCAACATAGGTATTTTAATCTTTCTTTCAAGTCCTTGCACTTAATTGGACATTTTGACACCTTTTCAGAATTCGTCCCAAGTATCTGTTTTTGCAATATATTCTGTTAAACAAGTTTTTCATATACACCATCTGTGTATATGCTGATACTGTTCTACCTGTGTAAACCAACCAAACACATCATTCTGGCTTGAGGTTAATATCGAACTTGATGAGTTTCCGGGGATACAGCCTATAAAAGTAGGTAAGTGTACCTTGATTCACGGCTTTTGTGTTAAAACTAGTTTAAAGAAGAAACTTTAACCTTTTTATCTTCTTGGAGTTCGTTCTATTCTGTAGGTTTTAAACTGGTTAGCACCACAGACACAGGGTTGCTGGAATATGAAGCCTTATGATCCACCACTGAAAAAACTTTCATGGTAGTATTTGTGAGGACAGAGCCCAGTTCAAGTGCCTTCTCATTACAAGTCAGTACCTGGACCAGCTCTTGCCGGAAGCGGCGACTGACCATACAGTAGAGTAGGAAGTTTGTGGTGGAGTTCAGGTTCTGCAGCATGTTGGCAATGTCTCCGGCAACGTTGATTGGAATGCTGTAGTCATTTCTATTAAAATTCTCATTATTGTAGTTGGTCCTCAAGATGCAATACGTGACAAAACGAGGAAGGCTAAGCACAACAAAAGCCACAGAGACGGTTCCCAGCAGGAGAATGGTCCTCCTCAACATGCCCCTCGTGCTTTTACCCTGCATGACACGATACTCCTCTTTAGTGAAGAGCTTACTGGCGTTGCACAAATGGTACCCAATGAGGTAATTGAAAATGATAACCAACACGATCGGAATTCCTCCTGAGAGGAATGTAGTTATCCACACTATAACAGTAGTGTAGGTCTCATTGCGGTATAGACATCTGGGCAATGTGATGTTCTCTCCATCCACTGTGAGGTTCACAGGTGTGACAATATTGATCCAAGCCAGAGGCACAGAGACCAGGTGGGATACCAGCACAATAGCTATGCAGGTAAGCTTAGTGACCCTAGTTTGTGACAAATGCTGTTTGACAGCCGTGCTGCGGAGGACCAAGTAACGCTCGATGGTGAACACCACCACAATCCAAGAGGAGCTGTAGAGTGACCCATACTGCAAAAATCCCAGAATGCTACACCAGGGGTAAGAGTGCCAGAAGGGCTGCAGGGTCCAGAAGGCGAGAGTTAGGTCAATAAGAATTACCCACACCAAGTAGAAAATGTCAGCAATAGCTAGACAACTGAGGTAGATGATGGCTGTGCTGGACATCCCACAATTACGGAAACAGATCATGTAGAATGTGAAGAGGTTTCCTAGAACAAAGAGTAGGAACACAGGCCCACACTCGTTTATTGATAATTTGGTCAAAGATAAAAGCTAAAACTAAGGATGCATATGATATTGTACACATCCACAAGATACAGTAAGTAGCAAAATTTATCTGATGTCCAGTTTTCACACATTTTTAACTATTCAGGAACTATTTAGGAAACTCATGGATTTCATCAAGGATTTGGTAGCTAGCATACATCAGTTAGCTAATGTTGTTGGTTACAGAGTAGCTGTGTCCAAATTCAGAGGCTACATCCTCCTGAGGCCGCATTTGTAGGCCGATTACATCACAACGACGCGACAAAGGCTTGAAGACTGAGAAAAAATAATTCAGATGAAAAGTCAGAATTCTGACTTTTTTCTCAGAATTCTGACTTTTTTCTCAGAATTCTGACTTTTTTCTCAGAATTCTAACTTTTCTCAGAATTCTGGAGAAGAAGAAAAAAAAGATGTGCCCACTTTTTCTTTTTCTTTTTTCCAGTGGCCCTAATCCTTGTCCGCAGCTAAATACGCAATGTCACATTTCTATTTCTACTTGTCTTGTGCATTGTTATATTTTGATGTCCATTATTCTTGATAGATCGTGGAAAGCCAAAGGCAATACAAACCTGGAATGCCGATGACACAAAGTAAAGGGTAGTATATCTTCTGGATAGTAACAAAGATGGATAAAGTGGCTCCCTCCATTGTTTGCTCACATGCTAATACCTGCAATAAAACCACTGGATGTACAGTAAGACAAATAATGTTCAGGGCGTCACATTGTGCAGCTTTTTAAGACCTACTTGGAAAGTTTTAGGTGTAACTGTTAGGATAACATATTGTACATGATGACAACTGTTGAGTTTAAGCTGCTAAAAATAGATTTACATTTTGTAGGCTACTTTGTTGTAAACTCAAAATAACTCTACATGAAAGCTGGCCTACTGTGTTAGGTGGGTTTCATCTGGGTGTAACTAAAACAAAGCATTAATGGTGTCTGAAGAAAGTTATGTTTTCTTCAAATCTCTGTCACTTGGAAATTGCTTGTCTGCGGCCCTGTGTTACTTGAGAGAAGTTAGGGATCCACTGTAATCTTGATGACATACAGAACCATACATATAGCTTTATTCTTTCATCCTTTTTACCTTTTAGAAGCTTCAAAACTCTGTATGAATATAGCAGTCTTTACTACTAAAGTGAACTAAATTAGACTTACCTAGTTTCTGCAGGATGTGATTGCTGTGCTCCTTTTAGCTATAAAGTTGCCACATAAAGGGGAGTTTTTCCACAGAGATGCATCCCAGCTGGTTATGAGTCCACAAAGACAATGGTATTGATAATATGAAGGAGAGATGCTGAGGGAGCTCCACCTGCTGCTCCAATAAGGCTTTGGGAGGGGGGAGTCACACCACCTGACATACGGTTGAAGGGAATTTTCCTACACAGTGGAAGCTCATTTCTGGCAGCACTTATAACACACGCCTTTACAAACCAAATTAAGTTACTGAAATGACCCCCCTCCCACTTGTGTGTTTTGAATGAAAAAACTTCAAGCAAGAAAAATAGACAGAATTTATTTCTTCCTCACTATGCAGGTTTGTGAAACCTTTTCATTGGACAGCTCCACTGAAATAGAAAGTCATATGAATTTGAAATGAAACTCTGAGATTTCTGATAATTTTTTGTAAATTTACAGTGAATTGCTCATCACAATTACTCTACAAGTTTATCCTCTAACACATTTACATCTTAAATCTGGGACTCTCCACCATTATAGTCTTAGAACTGAAGAAGATTCTCAGATGAGAGGTGAAACGTTTCCAAGCTCCTTAGACTACGATGACCTGGATGACACAGGCACATTTACATCTCCTTTTTTGTCCTAATCCTTGCTTTTTGGAACATAACTTTTCCTTTGAGTTCCTCTGAGTATGTTGTCTCTCTAATTTTGAAAAACTTGAGAATACACTTTAGGACATTATTGTGTGCTTTGCATATTACCATTGCAGTGCTGAGCTCAACTAAATTGCAAAATTTCAAGGCAGATTTTTCTTTTTAAAAAGATGTACCTCCCTCCTTTTGAATGTAGTACTGATTCTGCAGCTGGTGTCCGTCTAGAATGGTAGGTTGCACATTGATGGAACATCAAAGCTGCTCCCATTCCTCACTGGCAGCATTGACTTTTTAAGCTCTAAACTCTCCCAAAGTAAAATTAGCAAATTATTTTGGATGGTGGTGCTGCTCAACTTTAATTCCACTCACAAACAATCATATATTCAACCCACCATTACCTGTGATCCCTGAGTGTGTCGGCATAAGTGGAAATTGGAGCGAGAGTGGCTGAGGAGAAGTGAGTGTGCGTGAGAAGAGGAGTGGCGGCGTTTGGACTGAGTGAAGAGCGAGCATGGATTTCCTCCCCTCTATCCCCTGGAGCCCTGGACCCCTGCCCCACTCACTGTATATATAAATCACTGTGGTTTCACTCTTGTGTCAATAATTTGTCACCTTTATTGCTTGCCAGAACGCTGTCTGCGCTTGAATCCATCTGTTAGCCATGACAAGCTGTACAGTGTGATTAAAGTAATTAGAAATAAGTAACATAACTTGTTTTATAAGGCTGTGATCAGGTGAGATGTGGTGTTACTCTAAAACTGCTTTTTTGTGAGATTAGCCAATTAAATTCAACAAGATTTAAACAGATGTTTCACAAGCTGTATGGCTGATTTATTTATTGATTTTTTTCAAAAAGTTAGCAAATCTCTTTACTGTACTCATACTAGCTGTCCTCTTTTCTGCCTTCAAATCCTACTGATCAATAAATCAAACAGCAGTGTACAAACAGAATGCTTTAGCTGAGTTTGGAAAATTTGTTGTCATGGAAAAGAAGTGATACCTTTCACATAGAAGACATTGATTTGTCAAACATAGGCGCAATAATCAGTAATGGCCATTAATGGTAGTGTTACCAGTTGGTGAGCCAGAGACCTGCACTTTCAGTGACTTTAATACAGGGGTAGGCAACCTTTCTGATGATGAGTGCCATTTAAAATTTCCTCAGAAGTAAGTGTGCCATATGATTGCATTATGATTCACTCAGATATACACCTGGTTTATATCTGACCCAGATAGACTGCAGGTCATAACTTCTTACCTGAAGTTCGGTTCACCTGACACTCGGACCGTCGGCTGCCTTGGGTCTCTCCTCCTCCTGCCTCCCCTCTCCCCCAGCCACCTGCTGGCCTCCACCACTTGTTAATGTTACTGAATCTGTGGAAGCTCCGCCATAGCCACCACCAAACAACTGAGTTATTTTTACACACCGGCCAGCGTCTGGCCAATCCACCACCTTTCATTGTTTATACCGTTCCAAAAAAAAAAAAATCATCGGCCCACCGAGCAAATGCCTGGTATGCCCGATGGCCGGTCCAGGTATGGTCGTGCCATCAGTTAACCCTTCGGGCATGCGTGCCTAGGGTTGCCGACCCCTGCTTTAATCCTACTTATATATGTAAGTTTTTGAAAAAAATCTACTTCTAAAAGTACTTTTATTGCACCATGTTTATTCACTCATGAGCTGCTGTAACATCAGTTAAATGGCTGAATTACCACCTCAGGTGTTTATTCAGGTGTGTTGCAGCAGGGACTCATTCAAAAGTTTAAGGACCCCATCCCTCAACAACTGGAGTTTGACACCTGTGACCTAGGGGAAGCATGTATAATGCAAACAGAACTGGTCCTACATGGAACCCTGTGGAACTCCAATATTAACCTTAGTGTGTGAATAAGACTCCCCATTTACATGAACAAACTGGAGTATATTGGAGAGAGATATGATTCAAATCAGTGCGGCACAGGACCTTTAATACCTGCGGCCTGCTCTAATCTCTGTAATAAAATACGGTCAACAGTATCGAACGCTACACTGAAGTCTAGCAGGACAAGCAAAGAGATAGGTCTATTTGTCACAGGTCATAAGAAGATAATTTTTAACCTTCTGAGTGATGAGGTCCTAAACCTGACTGAAACTCTTTAAATAAACCATTCCTCTGTTGCTGCTTTACAACAATTCTTTAAAGAACTATTGAGATAAAAGGAAGGTTGGAGACTGGCCTACAATTGGCTAAGACAGCTGGATCAAATCTTTTTGAGTAATGGTTTAATTACTGCCAGCTTAAAGGCCTGTAGGGGTACATATTAATGGTACATAGCCCACAGACTTATCATATTTAAGATTGACACATTATTTAATGGTAGGACTTCTTTGAGCAGTCTTGTAGGAATGGAATCTGACAGACTGGTTTGATTACTGAAGTTCTTCACTGCATACCAGGCAGAATCGTACGCAGTGAGAATGTCACACTATTAACATGATAATCAGGCATAGAGCAGAGCAGCAACCCACGGTGTTGGCACATTTCATTCAAGAGGATAATATCCTTGACTTAGCTACAGCAATTTCAGAAAGACATCTACAGTAATGTAATGTATTTGCTACTGCTGTGTAATCCATGTTTTTAAGAAATTATCAGACAAATGAAGGTTTTCAGGGAATACTGTAAAATCTTTAGTTTTTAGAGTATATGTCACAACAAGATCCAGAATAAGATTCCTCCTCCTGCTCTGCTGCTAGCAACAGCAGCCTCCTGTGACTGTGAGGGCTTGTTACCAGTTGTGCTGGTACTAACATGGCAGTTAATTTGTCACATTTTGCTGCATCTATTTTTAGTTTCTTTTTCTCTCTTTTCAACTCCACCTTTTGACCACTTCAAGTTGTGTGAGGGCACAGGGAAACTAGGGCCTGGCTGCCACTGGCTCTCTTGCTCTGTGAGCATGCAGTTTCTCTTGGTTTCTCAGGCAGGTGCACACACATGTAAAACACTGGCATTGGTCATAATAAGTGTCTTGGAAAGAGTGTAAAATGTTTATTGGTCTTTTCTGAGTTCCAAATGCCAAATCACTGAATTAACAAAACGAGTCATGTTAATAAAAAATGGAAATGAAAGATACAAAGGAGAGAAGTTAGCGACACTTAAAACCCATTTAGCTGTACAACTGAAAAATGAGGATTTACCAAAGGCTGTGATACCATCTGCATTAAGACCAGACCAGAGCTGGTTTCCATTTATTTTCAATGCGTTTCACATTCAGACTCCTGTCACATGAACTGGTCCAGAGCTCCCCTGATCATATACTCCAAATGTCTCTCGAAGGATCACCTAAAAGGGTTAAATAAAATCAAAGACTCAATATAATCGTGTCACTTAAACATAAAAGAAGAAGCAGCTCAGGAGGTAAGATGGTCCTGGTTCAGGTGCAGCCTGTTGATCCTGCAGGCTCGGGTGGAGGACGTGCAGGAGGAAAAACCCCACGATCTGTTTCCAAATGAAGATTCTCAATCAAAGACATTTATACTCTTAAATGAAAATCTTTCTTGTCTCCCAGCTACAAAATAACACACCAGTGGTATAAAGACAGAAACATTTCCACCCAAATAGCAATGAGGGATATGTCAAAATCCTTGTACGTTGCTGTGATTTACAAAAATGTGGCAGATGGTTTGTAAAAGAACCTGCAGCAGCAGCAGCCTAACTAGAAGCTTTTGTGACGGGAAGGCAAAAAAAAGGTGGACTGTGTCATGCTCACCAGGAGAAACTTTATGCAATAACACGTGTAACTGAAAAGTAGAGAATAAAGCGATGAATTCTCTTTTATAGGAAATGAGAAAAAAATATAGAGCCTTCCAATTCAATCTCTAGAAAATAATAGAGAAGCTACAGTATAATACACATACAGATTAACTGTGCCTCCTCAGGTACTTGACTTCCTTTTATCATTATTATTACTTTTGTGCAGAAGAAAATAAAATCTGAAACGGAAGCAGACAAACTAAAACAAGCTTTTCTTATTTACATTGAATACAAGGAACTGCATTAGCACAACCCCCAGTTAACCCCAGTTCCATCAGCCTTGCTAACTATGGCATTTACAGAGTTCAGACACTAGGGGGGCGTGTCGGAGACTGAGGGCGGTGTCGTCAGGGGGTTTGTATTGGAACCCAAGTTGAGCTGAGGAAGCTGTACACATCCCTAACATAAAAAGGCCAGGCTGAAAAGGATCCATAGTTTTTTTGTTTTTGTTTTTTATATAGCACTGCTGTAGCTAATCGTGTCCAGGCCTCGAGCTGACCCCGAGAGAGAGAGAGACAGAGAGAGAAAGCAAGAACAGGGTGTGGGGGGTGGTAGCGGTGGGTTAGAGGTTGTCCCCGGGCTGGTACTGAGGCTCGGTGGCTGTGAAGTAGTCTTCCAAGAAGGCTTGCAAGTACTCAAAGGTGGGCCGCTCCTCTGCGTCCTTCTTCCAGCACTGTAGCATCAGCTCGTGCAGCGAAATGGGGCAGTCCTGTGGGCACGGCATCCTGTAGCCCCGCTCCACCTGCTCCAGCACCTCTCGGTTGTTCATACCTGAAAATTAAATGCAGGAAGCAGGTGAGAAAGAGCGCTCGGGAGCTCTGATTGGGATCACGCAGTGATCAAATTCAAAAAATCAGTTCTTAACATGCTGAATCTGCAAAGGGCTGTTTAATGAAGATCTGTTTAATTAAAACCTCTAACTGAAGAAAGCAAAATCTACAAAATAATGTTACTAAAGTTTTGAAAAACATGGCCTAGTCTGAACATGTCGTGCGTTGTCGGTCTTAAGTGCTCCTCAGTAACATTCAATATTCATTATTTACTGGCACTTATGCTTATGTTGGTTGCTGCTGTGGTCTCCCTACTGTGTTCTTCTCTTTTTGCTTATTTTCTTTTCAGTAGGTGATCAAACAGACACACAGCAGTGGATGGAAGCAGCTACAAAGTTTGCTTTTCTTCACGTTGGAGGTTGTTAATCAGGTGCTTTGATGAAGGATTCCTGTCGGCTTTTTCTCAGTAAAGATTTGAATGTTGATTACAGCTGGTTGTTCTGGATGCTAGAAAACCCCTTTTTTGACTCCACCTGAGCTCACCATCTTTTTAATCTCTTTAATCCCATCTCTTCGCTCTTTGTAATCCCTCATTTTGTAATCAAGTTATTTGAGTTACTCAATGCATTGTTGCAGCCTTATATTGACCAATACAGAACAATGGGAAAGGACAAGGAACTCAGTGAACATCGACGAAGAATTGTAGATTTATACAAGTTGGGAAGGTCTTCTGGAGCCATTTCTAGACAAGTGCTGATTCAGATCATCAGTTGAAACAACTGTACTCAAGTAAAAGTTATTCTGATGGTCTAACATTGGTTAGGTTGTTTAGGAACAACTCACGATCCACTGTGGCTCGAAACCTGCCAAAAACTGGAATCTGCTCAAACACAGTCATTGTCCTCAGTGCTTGACTAAAATTTGAAGCCAAATGCCTTCTGGAGAAAAGCTTTATGGTCAAATGGGACAAAGAATTGAACTAGTTGGCCACAATGACGAGAGATATTATTGTAGTAGTAAAGATGAGGCAAAGCTGAACTCTGTAACAGTGTCAAGCATGGTGGTGGTAGCGTCATGCTCTTGGGATGTTGTGCTGCTAGAGGCTCGTGGTACATTGCACAAAGTGAACGGAATAATGGACTACCTCCAAATTCTCCAACCAGACAGCCAGACAGTTGAAACTGTGTTCTAACACAGAGGCCTTCCCAATACACCAACCTCATGCCTATTAAAATTTGTGGACTATGCTTCATGCCAACCTACTTCAATGAACAGTCAAATATCCAGTCTGAAGTATGCTAGAAGCTTGTTGTTGGCTCCCAAAAGTGTTGAAGTGAAACTTGCCACGAGACATTTAACCAAATTTTATTGATGTTGTATAATTTTGACCCTGAGATCAGATAAAATTCAATATAAATTCAAATGATGTCTTTTCCCTTTTTAAAAACAGCTGAATTCTACGGGGTCTCTTTCCAGATGATCTGAGAAACCTTCCAGTTTTTAACTGAATCTGGCAATAATCTTCATCTCAAGTGTCTCCTGGGTAGGATAGTTCTCTTTCTTGAGTCCATTTTTCTGCTATTTTGTCCACTACCTTATAAAGCTGTTAAGGTGCTGCTTTTCCCTCAGCTCACTTGCAAGCTAACCATCCTCACCTGCTCTCTACAGCAGAACCAGCCCACCAGCACCATCTGGTCAAACGTGTTCCCCCTCCCTGCATGGAGCTGTATACGGAGTACGCCCCAGCCTCTCCCACTCTCTTTCTTTTTGTTTCTGTGTAAAATGTATCTTGTCCCACAGGGCAGCAGAAGTAATTAAGGGTTAGCTCATATTCTGGCAGGGAAACGAAGGTTACCCAAGCGTAAAGGAACATTTTAATCCCATAAACAGCAGCAGGAGCTGCCTGTTGTGATAGCTGTGTGTACTTTGGTAACTGCTCAGTGTTTCGCAGTTCCCCTTTATTGAGCCCCTTAATCAGTGTAGACTGACCGGCTCAAGGTGAAAGCAGCTGAGCGAGCAGAGCTTAGCTTCTACTGCACTGTTTGATCCTTCCCCTTCCTTACCTGGGTAAGGCACCCGACCCTTGGTGACCAGCTCCGTCAGCAGGATGCCGAACGACCACACGTCTGACTTGATGGTAAACTTCCCGTACAACGCGGCCTCTGGGGCGGTCCACTTGATGGGAAACTTTGCACCTGAAGGAGAGCAGTGAGACCACATTAGCATTAACGAGGAGAGCATGTCTACACTTCAGGTTTATTCAGTTTAACATGATCCTTTTTCTGTTATACTGGGCCTTCACAGTCCCTTATCATTTTAAACTAGCTTGATGAATTTATCTTTAAAGTACACACATATACATATATACATATATATACATGTGTGTGTGTGTGTGTGTGTGTGTGTGTGTGTGTGTGTGTGTGTGTGTGTGTGTGTGTGTGTGTGTGTAAATGCATATTATTGTATATGTGGTGGTCTTTCTCTTTTAAGTGAACAATGCTAACATGTACAAATTTGATACCAGCAATACAGCCTGTAAAAAAATTTACAGGATAAAAAGGAACATTCACGTTTTCTCTTAGGTTCCCCTTCACACGCTGTCATTGATTGTAACTGATTAAACTTTAAAAGTACTTCCTGGGAAAAGTCAGGAAGGAAATTAGAGACCAGAGATTAAACATCAGAGGTCTGACTTTTAAAAGTGAAGTGAAGCATCTAGCAGACAGCAAAGAACATGTGTGCAACAAAATGACTTCATTTGTCAAAGGGAGGAAAGAAATTACAACATAATGACAGTATCTGCTGAGCACATAGAAATGGCATGAACAGCTGCTATGAGCTTCAACTAACCAGCTGGGAAATGACGATATTTACAGTATTCTGAGTGCTGACACGTACATTTGTTATAAACGTTAATCTAACATGACCCATAATTCTGCATGAAACTGTCTTTCTGCACATTTAAAGTTCAAATGTGGAAGAAAATGTTCCTTTGTTGAATTAAAAGGATTAAACCCAAGAATTATTTTATGAGGGCACAGCGACGTTTTGGTGTCTCTGAGACAGACTGGTGATCTGTCCAGGCTGTACCCCATCTCTCGCCTACGGTAGCTGGAATAGGCTCCACTTTGTCCATGACCCCGAATTGGGTAAGCGGATGAAAATGGATTGATGGATGAAATGGCAATTAGATCAGAAAAAGGTCTGTGGATATTTATTTATACTTCCAGAATGCAGAATGTACAAATATGTTTTCTCCAAATCAGGGAACAGCTAGCACAACCTGATATCTGAATATCTCAAAGGCTTCAAGGGTCAATAGCGAAGTAACATGATGTCCAGTTTAAAATCTCTCTGTGTCTCTGGGGCAGGGAGTGTCTTCCCTCAATGTCTGTGTTATTGAGAAAAATATTTGGAGCTGACTGGCTGTGCTGGCTAGTCATTTTCTTGTGGGTGTAATGCAAAGCTTGCAACTCCCAGAGCGAATTTCCTCCATGATCTAATGCAGTCAGGCAGCATGTGAGCTTGTGTGAGTGGGAGCATTAAGTATGTGCATTTAACATCGTTTCTGAGCGAGTTGGAAAGGAGTTAGAAGCCCTACCTTGTCGAGCCGTGTATTCGTTGTCTTCGATGAGCCTTGCCAGGCCAAAGTCGGCGATCTTGCACACCAGGTTGTCGCCAACCAGGATGTTAGCAGAGCGTAGGTCTCTGTGGATGTAGTTCATCCTCTCAATGTAGGCCATACCTGCTGCCACCTTGAGAACAGCACAGAAGGCAACAATAGCTAAAGAAATTTCTGTCTCAACTGTGAGTTGCTCTCACTTCACGAGAATACATTTAATAGCATCTATATCTATTTATCTATATCTATATCTAACGGTAGGTAAAGCTTGTTTTTTGATAGGACAGCCCTCAGTAAGATATGTCGTTGCAGTTTGGATTGATTTGATTCAACTTCTCTCTCAATGACTCTCTATTTGCTAAAGATTTGGGTCAAATAAAAAGAAATTGACAATAGAAGCCCTCAAGTTATCTCTTAATGAAGTCCTCTAATCACATGATTAGAGCAATCATAAAGTTGCAGTTTTGAAAAGAGGACAACAAGAAGGGTACACTGAAACCAGTGTAGAATCATATTTTATAAAGAACAAAGCTGTAGAATTACTGGCACAAGTTCTGGGGTTGAAAAAGTAAGCCAATGCAGAAGTGCAGTTTCTGGAGTGGCCACTAGAGGCGGACTTTAGCCTTTAGTTGTTCTAAAATGCTGGAGCAAGAATCCTAACAGAGAATACTAGAGAGAGCGTATTTCTCCTGTACTGGCTTCTCTTCATTGGATCCCTTTTAAATCCAGAATCTATTTTAAATTTATTCAAATATATCACATATATTCTAATCTAACCAATGTCAGACCATATTCTAATCACATATTAGAATATATGTGATTATATTGAATAATCAGGCCCTATCTTAGCTTAAAAGACTTCATAGTACCACATATTGTAGGGTGTACATTTATATAAATCAAACTGAATTGAATTGCATATTTACATTTTATTCAGTGTCCTAACGGTTTTGGGATGTTTTGGAATTTATGGTTGCACAAACAGATTTTGCTGCCATAGCAGGACCATTTTCAGGACCATAACCTGCAGTCTGTGGCATACCTGTGCAGCCATGTCCACCAGGTTAGGCAGTTTTAACCCTCGTCCTTCTCCATCCTTTAAAAAGTCCAGTAAGCTTCCTGGAGTAGGCATAAAAACATGTTATGTTGCACACATGTGCACAATAAAATAAATAAAACACAACTTTATTAAATCAGTTTTGGTTTTCGTGCCCCTGTGCACAGGAACACAGGAAGTGTTTGTAAATCTGAAGTAAAATAACCTTGAAGAAAAATCAGGTGAATATCTCTTAGAAATAAGCCACAAAAAGCTCGCCAGCTACAAAAATAAATATTGGATTGGTGGACCTAAAAAGATCCCCACATAAACTTCTACATTCATACAATTCCACAGTGGATCGGCTCTTTTAAAGGCACTCCTCTCCAGCTTAATTGGCTGACCTAGATATGGCAGGCTCTGCACGCAGCAGACACAGCAACGTACATCAAAGTTTCCATTCTTGCATTCTCTGGTGATTAATGCGCGTCCACAACGCTTTCTTGTGGCATCTCTGAACTCCAGTGTTTTGAAGGACTGTTTTGCAGGCCTTAATCATCTCCACTCTCTTTGAAAGGCAGGGTTTGCCATTCCAGAGCGCTCACTCTTCAGACTGGAATGAAACAAAGTGCTTTGACAGACATTTTTTTTAACTGGCCACAAGTTTCACTTTTAGGCCACAATATATGCTTTTTATGGCTTTATAATTATTATATATATATATTAATGTTATATATATATATATATACTATTAATAATATATAACATATATACACATATATATATATATATATAATATATATATATCTATTATATTATACATATACAATGCATATAATATATAATATATAATATACATAAAATAATATAATATATATATATATATATATATATATATAATATATATATATATATATATATATATATAATAAATGTTAGAAAGTATCACAATTACTGGATTATATATATTATATATGTAATATATATATATATTCCAGTAGATTGTGATTACTTTGCTAAATTTATTCTTTAATCTTTCCTCTACAGTTCTACTGTTTGGTGTACATGCCAACAACAAAAAGCAAGGAGATGATATCACATAAGAATGGACTGTTCAGAATCTCCTGCAGATAATTTGCTTTTTACTGAGATAGTGGTCAGTGAAGACACATACAGGGGCTTGGACTGAGCTGGTGACACAACCAACATACAACATAACATAGAACTTTAAACTCTTCTACTAATGGAAATTAACTTTGCTTTGCAAAACTTGGCTGTGTTACGTTTTCTGAGTCTGCAGCTTACGCACAAAACCATACCAAGAGCTATTTCTCTTGTTTGGTGTTAGTCCTTTCCTCTCTCACACTTTGTTTCTGCACAAGGGTGAGAGAGGCAAACTCGCTGACATGCAACCAAAAGCAACGCAAGGTCAACTGCTTTACAACCCATTTTTGTCACACAGAGCTTTAAGCTTGTGTCTCCATTATTAGTTTTCTCTTTCAACAGAAATTCTGTAAAAATTCATCTTTTTCGTAATTGAATGGTGATGACAAAATTCTTCTATTCTTCTTCAATAAAATCACTCTACATAGTATAAGATGCTTGTAAAAGCGAGAGAAACTGCATATTTTGAAACAGGAAACTCTTATTTTATAAAAATAATTATTTTTTAACAAGTGAATAACTAGCACTTTTGGGGTGCAATGAAAAATTCAAGTAAGCAGCTGTGGATTGTGGGTGTGTTCCATCTACCTTTGCCCATGTACTCTGTGACGATGTAAATGGGCTCCTCAGACACGACAGCGTAAAGCTGCACCAGCTTATCATGACGGAGTTTCTTCATGATCTGAGCCTCCTCCAGGAAGGACTCTGGGGACATCGTGCCAGGCTTCAGAGTCTTCACTGCCACCTTAGTGGTGCCATTCCACGTTCCTGGTACACAGAAGCTGGCATCAGTACAGTGGGAAAATGCATTCGTGTCATTTCAAAGTCAAGCTTGACAACCCTGTGCTCTAACCCGAAGACATGATTGGCAGGTGTGAGGCAACTGTAGTTTAAAAACATGGGGAAAGTCTTGCTTTGAAATGACAACGAGATAAACATGCAAGACAGGAAGCGATCGAGAGACTGAGGGAATAATCTTTCATGCACAGTGGTTGGGCTGAAGGATAATTAAATGTGTACGGGATTTGGAGCGGACATTGATTTGAAATGGCTTTTAAAGGCTTGGAGAGAGATTCAGCAGGGCTTTAAGAGTCACAATACGCCAACATGGGAGCGGATAATCCTTTGTAGGATGATCAACAAAGGCAAGCCTGTAAGCTCCTCACTGGTTACATGTCAGTGACTGTAACACAGCACGGCTATGCCTCCAATATGCACTCTATCAAAATACTGTGTGAATGTAGGTAAAGGTATGGATGACTACAATTATTTTATTGAAGCAGTACCTTTTTTATATTATTTTTACAGTAAACATACAAGAATCTTAGGAAAGACAAATTTGACCTACTTGTTTATTTTAAGGGGCTTAATTTAAGATTAAGCTCATATATCAGAGTGGGCTTCTGTAGCATCGTGACTGTGCTTTCAATTTTGGAAGTCAGGACTGGTAACCTGCTGCTACAGTGGCCCAGAGAGGTCAAACATACTGCAACTGAGAAACCATCAGCAAATAGAGAAATACTGCAAAAGCACACAAAAAGTATTGTTGTGTGTGTTTGTGTGTACTTTTGCTGAGTATTTTCTGTTTGCTGGTGTTTTCTTAAGCTGCAATGCATTTCACCTTTCAGGGCCACCTCAGTGTTCAACTGGAATATTATAAGAATGCAAACATACACTGTGGGGTGGAAAACTATTCTTATAGGTATCAGCTGATTTTCAAAGAGACTATAGTTTATGTCTTAAGAAACTAAAACAAAAATCCTGTGGGAGTGCTGGAGAGGGATAAGAAAGCTCCAGCTTGCATGTGAAATGGCAAAATAGCTTCTTGGCACAATTATGAATACATAGATGAGCATAAAGGAGACTCCACGTGTACTTGTGGGGTGGGCCAGAGTGAAAATTTCAAAGTTTGGTTTTGAATTTTCTTACCATAAAACACATCGGCAAAACATCCTGTTCCCAGCTTTACTTCCAACTCAAGTGCGTCTCTGTTGATCTCCCAGGCATCATGACTCAAGCCCACAGTGTCAGGGATGTAGTTCACACACACGCCCGTTAAATTAAAGCACAAACCATCCGCACTCTCTACAGGGGAGGGGGGGAGGTAAGGCAAACAGGGTTAGGGGAAAGGAACATGCAGTGAGGTACACATGGAAGGAGGCTGTGAGAGTTTCCTGACACACTGGATGATTTTTCCAGATTATTTTGGCAGAAAAGTTTGGAAAACAAGGACAATTTGACTGGCAACGCCCTCAATCTAAGAATTACCAACATTTTTGCCCCATGTTCTCATTTGATCGAACCCATCAGATTATTGGCCTGTGTTTTGGACTGTGTCTGGTGTCTCCGTCAGCTCTGTGTGGCTCCTTCCGAGTGGCCCCCTTACTCGGAGGCGACTCGATCCGTACCCATCCAAACCTCCCCAAACTGCCCATTCCCGAGACGCTTGATCAGCTGCAGCGACTCCCGTGGGATCTCCCACACGTCTTTGGTTTTGACGGACAGGTCAGCGAGGCGGGGCATGCCTTTGTGGCAGGGAACCACCAAGCGACAGCAGAGCCCCGCGGCTCGATCTGCACACAGCACACGGCAACGCGCAAAAAAGAGCAGAGACAGAGAGAGGGAGATGTACAGAGGGTTAGCGCAGCACCCTGCAGGAGACAAAGACAAGCTTCAGAGTAGCACAACAACTGGAAGCATAGTAAACATCAAAGCTGAGAACCAGCGCCTCTGTTTTCCCTTTCTGGTGGGCACATGAGCTGATTACAGGTGAAAAGATTCAGGATGTGGCCTCTTTCATCCATCTTGATCATCAGATTAATCAGTTTGCTTACAAGTCACACGCGTCTCATACTTATAAAATTAGAGCGTTGTGATGTAGCACTGGCTGATGAACTTTTCACAACTGGCTTTTTATGTAATAACTTGTTAAGTATATTCTTCCTAATAGCCAAAACGAATAGAAATCTATTAAAATGTTCTCATTTTCTATAATATGATTTCAGAGCATAGTTAGAGTTGGAAGTCTACCCTCTGAACTCCCAACAATCTGTAAAACAAGCGAGTAATGATGTATAGACTGTTGGGTGGGGTGGTGAAGCTCTGACATGTAGCCAAACAGCCAAACTGGGGGTCGGTTGTCATTTCAAATTGTTGGCAGTCTACCTCTGAGTGTGCTATAAGTTCACAAGCATCATCTGTTGCTGGAAAGCTAAAATAAAACAGTACCTAGCTCTGCAGTTACAGCTGAAATTTAAATGACTTTAATGGTTATTTCTGGCCTGGGTTGGTAGAGTATCACAGTATAACAGTATAACAGTAAAAGTCTTCAACACTCAATAGCAACAAGCAGAACTAAAGACTCTAAAGGCTTCCTGTGGCTAAGGGCATGGCGACGTGCACACGGTTTACGATAACAATGGCCATTTACGTAAAGAGATAGCTGCACGGTAAAATGTATATATTTATAGTTATGCAACGTTAAATCATAGGTACTTTGTGTACTATGAAAAGCATTATCGACCATACTTGTTTAGGACGATGAGTGCCCTTTCCATTTAGATTAGGCCTGTTTGCTGTCACTTTAGCTGATAACACCACGACATCTATGTGCTCGTTCAAATCATTCTTTCTTATACTCTGAAGGAAGTCTCATGTTTGCCCCCGACTGATTAAGCCAGTGGATTAGGTCAGAGTTTCCGCAGGCATCCTCACGCTGATATTTAGATATTGCCTTGACAGCAATGGTAAAGTGACCCTTGGTTTTATCCTCACGGTCACTGGTAAGACCCCAGGGTGTTTGCACAGGGCAGTAAAGATGAGATAAAGGCCCGCGTCTCACCCACAGGAGTGTTAAACCTGGAACACGGCCATCAAAGCCCATCTGGGCCACCTGCCTGCTGCCACAGCTGCTCCGCTCAAACATCAATACGGCTCTGTGTATTCTCCACTGGCTGTCATAAAAGCTGTCAATATGTGCACCGTCTCCACGGAGAAAACACAGAAGCAGAGGGTGTTTCACAGAAAGAGGTGGCGGCTTAAAGTGTGGAAAGCTCATTTTATTTTGAAGACCAAGTTAGTCTTTGTGATGCTGCTGAACTCCATTTTGCCTGCTCATAAATGTGTTATTGCTGACAGTTATTAAAGTTTATGTTCTGCTCTCTAATCAATTACAAACCTGAGCAATTCCCAACACCTGGTTTTGGTAGAATGATGGTAGGATCATACACAAATCCATTCAGTGCCTTGTCACATCAATTTATCACGAAACAAATAAATAAACAGAATATAAAAGTAGACAGGGCTAGCTTGTTAACCGTTTTATAATCGCAGTAAATCATTTCAGAGGATTGTTTCCTGGTCTTCTCTTGGGTCAGTTGCCTTTAAAGACATTATTACGCAACCAGAATGTGAATGAGTGAGAGCAGGTAACAACACTCCTACTGTAATTTGTTCCCCTGAAGCCACTGATTCTATCAATGCATTTTAATAAAATGTTATTTAAATGGTACCAATTCACAAGAAGGCATTTGACCTTATAAGGTAAAGACCAGAGAGTGATCTTGACATCAGTGGGATGCAAAAAGCAAAAGCATCATCATGAACTGCAGCCATTTATTTGTAAAAATACACTTAAGGAATCGGATTTCTACAACTAAAAATGCAAAACGATAAAAATTAAAAACAAAACAACAAACAAAACTCAGTACTCCTTGAAACTGACTATTTTATTTCATCACGTGCAGCTTTTAATTTTCTCTCTCGTGACTAGCAGAAATGTCGTTTGAACAGAGTAAAGCTAGGTTTGATTCTCAGCCTGTTAGTGAATTTGGCCAGATTAGCAGCCAAGAGTTATTGCTTTCTGACCCCTGCAGGTGATGCGAAGAACAGAACAACGCTCTACGATGCCCGATATGCTCCTCGGCTCTTCAGCAACATGTAAAATAGAAAATAGCGCAAAGCAGAAAGCAATAAAAGCATAAGCCCTGCAAAGAGTCAAGGTTATTTGCAAAGGTGTGCTCCATATGCCATTTAGAGTGGCGATAAAGTGCAGGACGGACAGTTAATGTGCCATGACGCTAACGCATACAGAAAATCCATGGCACTGATTTTAGGACTTCAAGAGATCAATATGTCAATGACAACTGGAGCGTGACTGGAAAAGCACCGTTCTTAGTCAAAAGGATGCAGAATGAGAGAGATCAAACACAACAAATGAGCACGCTTTCAAAGAAGTACAAGTAGAAGCGAGACAGTGAGAAAATGCTGAAAAACAGAATCCGTGTTAACAAGTAATAAGTAAAACATATATGTGTCAGTGCACCAGTGGGGTGTCCGTTTCCAATAAGCTCAATATGAACACCAGGATGGGCTCACAGTGGCTCTTCAGGGTGTCAGAGTGCTCTCTCTGTGGCCTCTTGTTTGCTGCATTAAAAATTTATGTGAATCCAGTTGCACGTGAGACACAAACTAGCAGGTATTCCAACACAGGCCATGTCTTTGTGTCTCACAGTACGAGTCATCTTCTATTCCTGTATGTGAAAATGCAATAACAGCGTAACAGTGTTTGCTTAATGCATGTTTGATCAATTCACGGAAACGGACACCACACAAAACACTTTCCTATTTGGGCTTGTGAAAATGGGGTCGCAGTGTCAGTGCTCTGCATCCACCGACAAATCTGTCTACGGCAACGTCTGTCTGGAAAGCTTTTAAAAAAAGAAAAGGCATTTCTCCCGTTTGATCTGCTTGTTTTCAGGCCAGCGATGCACTTTCTTGACATCTGCATCATACATTCAGCATTTCCCAGTACAGCATTAAATATTACCAGATTATTATCTGAACTTAAATTTATGTGATCATTCCTGTCTACCTGGACTGAAGCAGAAAGTACCAAGCTGAATTTCCTAAGACCTGGTGGAGAAGTGGAGCATGTAAAAAGGATAAACACATTTAAAACTGGACGAATTTTGTTAAGATCAACCTATTTTATTTGTTTTTTTCTAGGTTCAAATTGATTCTTATTATCTTACACTCGGCATTAGTGAGGCTGTTTTAGCTCTGTTCCCTCTCCATTTAGACTGACTGACTGACTGGTTGTCCATCTTAAACATAAGCTTTTAACAACATATATATATCTATATGAAAAAAGGGAAAACTAATAGCTTTAGTGGAAGCATTGTGCTGTAAGCGTAGAGTTTAGAATATTAGATATATTAGATAATATTAGAATATTATGAACATTATTTAACACATAGTGAGTAGGAAAGGTGACTGAAGATCATGGGAATCATCCAGCAGCCTACATCTACTGCAGCATAATTAAGGGAGGATTCAGGGTCACCTGATCCAGCCCTAACTATATGCTTTAGCAAAAAGGAAACTTTGAAGCGGGAGACAGATAGTGTCTATCTCCTGAATTAAGCTGGTTCCACAGAAGAGGGGCCGGAAAACTAAACGCTCTGCCTCCCATTCTACTTTTAAATACTAAATATATAAGTATATATACTTTAAATATATAAATATATAAGGATTAACACACAAACGTAGCCCTATACCTCTACAAACATATAAAACCATATTGTATTATCTCATAGTATATTTTGTCCTAACAAAGAGGAGAAAATCCAAACAGACCAGAATGAGAATATTTTGAAATTCTTCAAATTTACTTGAATAAATAATGACAATGGCTCATATTCAGCGTTTTCTGAAACAAAGAGCTGTACACCTGCACAGACTCTTCCTTTAGCCATTCTCCACCTCTCCATCAGCTTTAATGACATTCAACCAAAACGGCACTGAACACTGTTGTGGCTCATGTGGAAGAAGCAATTACAATCTAAAATCATTCAAACTGAACAGTCGCACATTTACAAGAACAAACTGCAAAGCTACCTTTTTTTTAAGTGGACCTTAAATACACAACAAACAAAAATAGTTACAAGTTTACACAACATGACAAATTATAGAATCTTTGTATTTTACCTGAATAGTGCTGAACCAGCTGCTGCAGTGTTTCAAACTGAGCCCTGGTAGTGATGTAGTAGCCGCCGCTGTCTAGCTTGCGGATCTTATAATGCTTGACGTGGTCGCCCTTGAGATCATCCCAGTCCCGTATGGATAAGGAAAAGGCACCTGAGGAAGACAGACCAGGAGGTTCGAATCACTGAACACCAAGTTCCCATTCAACACTTCAGTACTCACTTCTACCCATCCAGTTCTGCTGCTATTCAAAAAGCAGAGGCTATCACACTACACTTTTACTACAAAAGTCTTATGAGAAATATGAGAGCTTAGAAAATACTCCATGCGTTCTACTTGTGATTACACCATCAGGCAGCTGTGAACACTTCTTACTCCTAAGTAGTAAATCTGTCATGGCATAAACACACACACTTACAGGTCGATGTGTGTCAGTGTGTCTGTTTTGTGGCTTTTTTACCCTTTGTGGTTTCACTTTCTCGGATGAGATAGGTGCCTCGAGGGTTGCCAGTAGACAGTAGCTGCCTCTCTGCATCCTTACGGCCCAGTTTACCAAAGTACCAGCTGCAAATATAGGAAAAGAAGTCAAACACAGACACACTGCAGTCACTGTGTTCAAGTCATGCATAAGGTCACATCATAGTACTACTATTTCCAGGGGTATTGCCAAAAATGGTTCTGACAAGGAATCAGAAAATCCCGGACAGTATCGTGGAGCTTTTTAGTCTGATGATGCTAAAAGACTGTTAAGATAAGCGTAATTCTCAAGAGGCCAACACTGTTGGACAAATGAATGAGGCCAAAATGTGTATGATAGCACTGGAACACGGGGTTTGCGATGTCATCACTGAGAGCCCTGCTGCCAGCTGACCTTTTAACATTATGTAACACATGATGAAATCAAGTGATGATGAGACGGTCAACACTGATATTATGGATGGAGAGTAACACTGACAATCTACATTCCTACATTACATATTTGTTTCGAGTATCACAACATAGCAACTAGAGGTGGGAATCACCATACATCCCACGATACGATCTTATCACAATACTTAACGCACGATACGATATTATTGCAATTTTTAAAAATATTTTGCGATATTCAGATTCTGTACCTAAAGGTAAACTTTATCAATATTCATTTTATCTAATATCAAAGTCTCGCACTCAGTCTTTCTCTCATTTCAGTCAGTTTTATTGTTGACAAACTGAACGGTTTGTATTACAGTCTAGTCCAACTTAACTGAATGCAACCATCTGGTACAATTATAGCTATTCTGAACTATGCAATTTATGAAAACTATGCAGCTCATTCAGCAACTGAAGAATTTGAAAGTAAATTAAAACAAAATATAATTTTACATTAAATAAAAAAGTTTTAAACTTAATTAAAATAAAACATGTCTTAAATTAAAATAAGTAAACTGTCATGTTTATTGCTGCCAAAAAACAAGTTAAACACATTTGGACAGTGAAGGAATGTCAGGATTCTTGCTCAGAAAAAGGAGCTGATCAACATGCTCTGAAGTCAAAAAACTTTTTTTGTAACAAAATATCGATTTCTGCTGTCCCTGTATCGATACATTATTAGCAAACAAAATATCACGATACTACACAGTATCGATTTTTTCCCCCCACCCCTAATGGCAACGTGAGAGCAATAATTTGGAAAACGATTCGTGCTCAACACTACCCAGCAGCTGTCTCTGCTCCCCTCACAGATTTCTGAGTGCCCTTTCAACTGATGGATGTACTACAACCCTAAGCTCCATCAACAAGAGCATCAATTACTGCTTTGTTAGCTACATTTAACTACATTTTTTATAGAAAAAAATACACTGCTCAAAAATCTTAAGGGAACACCTGATCATCACAGTATAAGTTAGTCAGTTAAACTTTAGGGATATCAATCTGTCCAGCAAGGATGCATAAACTATTGTGAGTGGATTCTAAATGCTTTGGTGTAAATGAAAATAACAACAGGTACAGTATAAAATCAACAACAAGACTGTCACGGTCCTGGGTCGGTGACTCAGTGGTTTTGTATTTTTGAATTATTATATAGTTTCTGAGTTCATGATTTGTCCCTGCTAGTCTCCTAGTTTTTGTCTCAGTATTTCTAGCTCCCTAGTTTTTTAGTTTTTGCTGATTTCAGGTTTTGTTATGTGCCTTCCCTGTGTTCCGTGTTGTGTCTAGTCTGTGCCTTCCTGTCCCACGTTTCAGGTTCATTGTGTTAAGTTTACATGTCTTGAGTTCAGCCTGTGTGTTTCCTGTTTTACTTTGATGGTCCTGGTCCTTTGTCAGTGTAGTCTGCTTTACTTCCTGTGTCTCGTTATGTCAGATTAATCCCAGCCGTGTGTTCCTCCTGTTATGCATTCCTGCCTTGTTACCTGGTGTGTATATAGTGTGTGCTTTCCTTTGTTCAGTTTGATCGTCTGCGTTTCCTCCTGCATGTTATCATCCCCTGTGGTTCCTTTGGATTACCTCTGTCCTCGTGTTTCCAAGTTTTCTAGTTTCAGGTTTGCGTTATCTTAATGCTTAGTTTTGGTTAGTTTTCTCTGTGCCACCTGTTTGTACTTTTGTTCAACCATCAATAAAGGCTTTTGTTATCATCCACCTTCGTCTCAGTTTGCCTCCACTTGGGTCCTCAGCCTCATTCCTTCCATGCCAACTGCCCCGGCAGACGTGACAAAGACAACCTCCAACAAGAGATCGTTGTTCTCTCCTTGTCCCCCTGACTCAATTTTCTTTCGTTTTTTGTTTTCAATAGGATCCTTGTCACTACTGGTAGCATGAAACAGTACCTGTAGTCCATTCAAGTTGAGGAAGTAGTCTGGCTCTTTTAGAAAGGCACATAGGGTTTTCTGCATCTCCTAATACAGTCTCACAAGTGTTCAGGAGTAGCAAGAGATATGAGAAGAGCTGGGCAGGGATATATACATGCATTAACCCTGAAGCTGGACCAGTATGTACTTCTTTGTGTGAGCAGGGGCATCATTACCAGAGCCCTCCAAAATGACCTCCAGTGATCTACTTGTGCATGTTTCCCAACAACATGTCAGAATCAGATGCTATAAGGTTGACATTAGTGCCCTTTATCAGGCCCTGTGCTGACAGACCAACGCCATATAGTTTGAATGGCATTCGCCAGAGAACACCAGAACTGGCAGGTCTGCCACTGGTACTTCATTCTCTTGTCCTATGTGAGCTCGTTAGCTTACCACTGTATGAAAATGCTTCTCTACAAAGCTAAATGCACAAGAATAATATAATTCTTCACAGTGAATTGACTGAATCTTGATTCAGAAAAACATCTGAGTGGAAGATTACAATAATCCATCCATTTGATGTCTGAATCAAACATAATACTCTTTATAGTGTCACATAAATGCCATTTTATAAGGCCAGTAGAAAAGCTTGCCTTGAGTATAAAGTATAAACTGTTCCTCTCTCCTGAACTTCCTTTCTCAGAAGGTTAACGTGCGGCTGTCAGTCTGAAGCTTCACATCCACTAATCTCAAAGTACTTCAGAGCACATTCTCTATGAAAGTCAGCGGGTATGAACAAATGCACGCTCACACACATATGCTACTTACTCTTCAGCCTGGATAGAGTCCACTGGAGCCACATAATTACTGGGAATGTAGCCGCTGCCACCGGTAGTGAGGGAGCGAGCATCCCACCAGTCCCCTTCACTGAAAGACAAAAAGAGGAATAGGGTGAGGAAAGGAGAACATTCATACAACTTCATTTTATATGAGCTGACATGCTCTGGTCCACTCACTTGTGCAACATATATAGAACTCTATAATCCCTATATAAGTTTAAAATTAAGAAACAGCTAAAAGAAATGCACGTTATCAAAGAACAGCTCAATGAGTTCAGGAGAGCATATTTTAGCCGCTGAAGTAAGAACATAATGATGATATAATAAAGATGTATTTTTTTGAAGGTGTATATTATTATTTCCTCATCATCAGAAAACACGTTATAAAAAGCTGAAGCTGGTCCTGATGTTTCCTAACGAGACGAGGAAGAAACTGAGATCCTGGGTTCATCCAATCCTCATGAGAAGGCAGCAGCAAGGAGACTTTCATGGTTTAAACCAGGAGTTCGCGTTAAAGCACCACATCTGGAAAAAAATTCACAGAGGCTGAGGTGAAATAGTACTATACTAGTAATTATAATATATTATAATAATTCAACTAGGCTGCATTTTGAGCTACAAGTACACTCGTTGCCAAATGCAGTCATCTGATTGGTCAGTTCTGTTTATTTAGACCTAAAAAATCTGAAAACTTGAGCTTGGCTCAAAAAATGAATCCATTGAAATTACCGAGTCAGCGTGAAGGTCTGAAAAATGCTCACTAGAGTGTTCTATAATGTTCTACTAGAAATAATCTCCAAGGACAAGCACTATATCCCCCAGTCCACTGAAATGTTTGTTGAAAAACTACTGCTGGCCTCCAATTTCTTAATTAATAATAAGCAATCAATTGTAATCAAATAATAATTAAAGTTCTAAAACAGACGTCTTGATATGAAGACTATAATGTCAAAAAGGAATTTGACATTAATAACGTCCTGCACTATAGTTTCATAAGTAGCTAAATCAATATTTTTGACCCATATTAAAAATATAAAGACAAAGTATGGAGATCACAAAACACTGAGAGGTGGAATCACACCAGTAGTTTAGAGTTTCAGATTGGATTTGCCAACAACAGTAAAAATGTACTGTAGTACAGCGGTCCCCAACCCCCGGGCCTCGGACCGGTACCGGTCCGTGAGTCGTTTGGTACCGGGCCGCGAGAGTTGAGGCTCAGGTGTGAAATGTATGGTTTTCAGGGTTTTTATCGGTTTTAAGCGTTATTTTGTTATCGTTTTTATCATTAACTCGGTTTTCCTGGGTCTTTTCACGTGTGTTATGAATAAATCTTCTTTTTTCCGTAGCAGTACTAGTTTTATCACCTTAAAGGCCGGTCTGTGAAAATATTGTCGGGCATAAACCGGTCCGTGGCGCAAAAAAGGTTGGAGACCGCTGCTGTAGTATCTAACAATGTACCCTTCGTCTCTCCATCTCTGTGCTAAAACAGTGCCTCACTGACATGCTGTACCACTCTGCACTTATTACTATCATGTCCCTTACACACTGGGAAGGAATGGCTTTAGATGTGTGTGAGTTTATCTATGCATGAGAGAGACGGTTATAAGACAGAGAAAGAGACAGAGAGAGGGGAGTGGAGGAAAGGGGAGGAGCGCAGAGGCGTTGCTGAGCCTTCATTTATTCTGAATAAAGCCATGATGAGGATTGCCTGGGGACGACATCCCAGGCAGAAACAGACACGCTTCCCTTTGTTCAGAGGGGATCCCTTGGGAAGGGAGGGAGAGAGGCACACATGAAGTCTCAACAATAAATCTTCTGAGGGTAAAAAGTATGCAGCAGTAAGAGGATGTGTTTTTCTGTGTAATGTCGATATGTGTGTTTGCATGGAACCGGGGAGGCATAAACAGACGGGGTGGGGTGGGCCCCAGTCTGTCCCGCTGCCTCTTTTGTCTCCTGAAACAAACCCTTTAAACCAACTCTGCACCACCACAAAAAGACTGAAAACAACAACGAGAGTAAACAAGGAACCTCCCTCCTGTCTCCAAATGGATTCAAATCCTCTTTCCCTGTGGTGACTGCTGATGAGAGTATAATTAAATACAGCACTGTGTCGACTGAGACGAGTGGTACAGACGGCCATTCACACCACAACACGTTTATTCATAGCCTGTGGTCGGATCAGAACAATTCAAGTTGAATTTACTAATAGTGTAATCGTGTAGTGTAGGATTCTTTTTCTTTATTATGTCTGATGAAGCTACACAATAACACGCTCAATGGTGGCTTACAAAAAACCTGAGCTGAAGGGAGTGGCTTCTAAACATTCAGAGATGTTTCCTTTAGGATGCCATCATGTAACACAAAGGAGACACATTGCCTTCTGTCAGCTGAGACTCTCCCAGAACTAGTTTGTTGCCCAGGCAGGCGGGGGCATCTGTTAGTCACTGCCAGCTCTGACAGGCTAGAGCAGACGAAGGCTTTAGGCAATTTTACTGCCTTTCTCCACCAGGGGTCAGTGTGGGCAGCTGAAAGGAGCCCTGACCATACTTGAGGCGTGGGTGGATGGAGAGAGGTGGAAAGGAGAGAAGTAAGGGAGTAAAGATATAGCTCTCTATGTTTCATGCTGGGGAGAAAGACATACAGAAAGGAGGAAGAGGAGGGAGGTTGGGGCTTTAATGACACTTTTTTCCTGCTCTGGCTGGAGCCCTGGAAAGGCCGAGGTGTGTTGTGGAATGTGCAAGTGGGTGTGGCGAGAAGGAAGGCTAACCTTGTTGTGCCATAAGGCACTCATGTATGGACAAGAGGCTGAAAATGAATCAGAAGAAAACTCACATGGGAACTGCATTACCTTTTAACAATAGAGGCTTGTGCTTGTTTATAATATAGTATCAGTAAGACCACCAATACAAACATCCATGTTACTAAAATTAGCAGCACTGACTCACTTCTACAAGGAATCACGGGGAATTTGTGAACTTCTTTCCCATTTTTGACCTAAATTTAGTCTCTAAGGTTTATATAGATTGCTCCACCGTTAGAATTTACTTAGAATTTTCTCTGAAACCAAAAAGATAAATTTGTGCAATTTCCACATTATTTCTAACAAACTACTTCAAGCTGCTGCCCGATTAATTTGACAACCCATATTAGCATGTTGATTTATTTATATTTATCAAGGACAATGGAAATCAAGATTGTAAAAGCCAAAAGCTGAAAACTTAGCGGTCCACCCTCTTATCTCAATATGGTCACTCCAAAACCAGTGGGTGACAATTACCATTTATATACATTGATCTCAGTCAGGGAAAGCAAGGTAGCACTACTTGCCCAGTGAAATCAAAAAATAAACATCAATTTCAAAGCAAAAGATTTCTTTCCCTTTGCATCTCAAACAGCGCCCTTCATCATAGCCTGTCTCATCTCTCTCCGTCTCTTAAAAATTACTGCCATATTGCTGTCGCTGGAAGCAGCCTTAACTCTGAATGACTATGAGTCCAGTGAAATCTGAAGTGTGTCTCATTTCTGCTGGTGTATCTGTCCTGATTTATGCTTGTCACAATGTAAAGTCAGCAGCTTTTTCTGGTGTCTATGTGTGAGCATTGTGGATAAACCTCTCGTATTTGACAAGAAACTGATAAGAGACAAGAGACTAGCGAGGTAGACAAGCTGCTGCTGGCTCTGCTTTCACTGCTCTGAGATCAGTTACCATCTGCACCTACTGTTAGCAAGTAAACAAGCTTCTGTGATTTCTCATCTTTGTATATAAATTTGATCTTATTAGCCTTATAAGGAAAACTGAAGTCAATATCAGTGTTATACACTATACAGTGTTATATACTAGATTGATAGAAACTTTGTTTTCATGGTTGCATTCTTCTTACAAGTAATAAACCCAACTTTTCTCTGAAAAATAAATATTCAATTTTGAAATCCAGTAGCAATATACCAGCAACGTAATACTGTCACTCCACTGTGTTCATGTGCTTAGAAATCACAAAACTAACAGCAACACTCACAGCCTACTGTTTAATTCTGAAACTATATGGGTCCCCTCTGCAGTGCTATTCTGCACATGTACTGAGCAACCTTATTACAATGAAATGTGAAGGAGAACAGGGTCACAGCGCAGTCCCAGCAGTGTTCATGCTCTCCTCAAATGTCAGCGCACTGCCGCAGGAACCCAAACAAACAGAGGCAGGCCGAGATGCAGCCGGATGCAGACACAAAGACAATGAAAACCATCAAGGATAGTTAAAGAGCTGGCAGATGATTGTGGCTCTTTTCTCCTTCAGTCTCTCTCACACACACACACACACACACACACACAC